AGCGGGAGAACATTTCAAACTGGATTTAAGGAAGCACTTCTTTACACAGCGTGTAGTCAGAGTATGGAATAGTCTTCCTGATAATGTAGTGCAAGCTGGATCCTTGGGTTCCTTTAAATCAGAGCTAGATAAGATTATAATAACTCTATAGCTATAGCTATTAGTTAAGTTCTCCCCAAGCGAGCTCGATGGGCCGAATGGCCTCCTCTCGTTTGTATAGTTCTTATGTTCTTATTTGCACCCTCTGTAGTGTTGACACAGAACAGCTACATGATATGGGGGGAGGGGAAAAGGTGTCAAGTGTGTTATTAAAATAGGGCTATGAAATGATTAAATATTTCATTATTATTATTCACACACATTGAAAAATCAAGGAACTAGAAATTAAATTTTAATAAAAATGTTTTCTCATGCTACTCTCCTATAGGGGTGTCAAAATTAATGCAATTAAAGTTAATGCGATCAAAGAAATGACAACATTATGATATCAAAACCCTTGTTATTTAAGATGCATAGGTATTATTTGTAATTATACAATTTTTAAATGATATAACAGTTACTTATTATTACATTATTTATTGCATTTGTTGCACTTGCACATTTATTTTGGTATTGCTGGTAGAGGTCAGCAGAAGGAGGAGCTGGGGCTGGTGGTGAAGCTCACCAAGGGTGCAAAATAGGCATTAATTGTCAAGTCAAGTCAGTTTATTTCTATAGCACATTTTAAAACTACCAATGGTTGACCAAAGTGCTTTACACAGAATCAATAACACATACAACAGAAATGGCCACACCATACTTCATACAGTATAAAACAAACAAATAAATAGAAAAAAATAAAAGAAAAACTTTCAAATTATGGAAGAACACAAATACAGACGAATCTAAAAACCTCTATAAGTCTCAGCAAATAGGTGAGTTTTTAGTCTAGATTTAAAAGATTCAGTGGAGGGTGCTGTTGAACATGTAGCTGCATTCTGTTTATTACAGTTACTTAAACATTTATAAATATACTAAAATGTTATAAATGGTGCAAAGGTGACATTAAAACAATGTCTCTGAAAGAAACTAAATAAGTTTCAGGAGGAGAACCATTTAAGTGCCAAACCTTTAAAGCCCACCCAATGTTCTAGTCTCTCTAGAAGAATGCAATGACCTGCAGTGTCAAAGGCAGCACTGGCATCTACTTACATTAGATTTGAAGTCATTTTTATATCGATAACTGTAGGTTATGATTGGCCGTGGGTTACCCACCTCCCCAAAGACTGAAGACTTCATAATTTGTACCATACATATCCATTGACTACTGTTTTATTTGCAATGCGTAGGAAGCAAACACTTTTTGTATATAGCTAATTCAATTCTCATTGTTTCTATTATCCAATAGGGCAATGCCATGCTGTTCCAGCTGGAAAGAAGTTTGCAACAGCCTCCTACAGTGTTTGCTCAGTCACTGGTGACCCCCATTACCTTACCTTTGATGGCAGACGTTTTGACTTCCAGGGCACTGGCTTGTTCCAAATGGTGGGTGTCTGTTCCGAGGACCCCAACCTTGTGCCCTTTGATGTGTTAGTCCAGAATAACATTCAGGGTAGCAAGGTGGTCTTTAATGCTAAGCTGGTGGAAGTGAAAGTGTATAACCTGAGTATTGTGATCAGCAAAGAGAATCCAGGAACGATCATGGTGAGTGAAGTTTATTTGGAAATTTAAAACGCACTGTAATGTACAGACTATTTCCTTGTGACTGCTAGTGTTTTTTATTGCATAACAGGTAAACAATGAGCTCACTCTTCTGCCGATATACTTAACTAGAGGTAAAATATCTGTCCACAAGAGCGGCTGGAATGCTGTGGTCAAGACTGACTTTAACTTGACGGTATCATTTGACTGGAATGCCGCCGTGTCCGTCACTCTCCCCAGCACCTACGTGGGTGCTGTTTGCGGCCTGTGTGGAAACTATAACAACAAGCCTCAAGATGATCTGACCATGAAGAATGGCCAAGCAACAGTTATCCCTGAAGAATTCGGTATCACCTGGTGTATTCCTGGCACAATAGGCTGTGTTCAAAGCTGTGAAGGTGGATGTCCAAACTGTGACCTCTCCCAAAAGCAGGAATATGAGACAGGGGCCTTTTGTGGCCTGATCAATGACCCGAGCGGCCCCTTTCGTGACTGCCATAAAGTAGTGGACCCCAGCAACTACTTCAACAACTGCATATACGATCTTTGTCACTACAACGGCCTTCAGTATGTGTTGTGTCAGGCCATCACCACCTACACTACTGCCTGTCAGGAAAGTGGGGCAAAAGTTTATTCATGGAGGTCCAGCAACCTCTGTAGTAAGTGTTATGGTTACATTTACTGTTATATTTGATATAGTTCCTAACCAACAGGCTTTATAAAGTGTGATGTAATTTTATTAAAGACTTAGGTAACATTTGAAGCGCTCATCTATAATGCATTAGAATGGTCGGTATAAGACATAGGTTGGTAAATGGCGGCCCATGGGTCACATTTGGCCCACTTACAAAAATATTCGGCCCTCAGAACAAGGTTTCCCTTTTTAGTTTTGTTTAAAAAATGTTAAATGATATCTGACAAAAGCAATATAATGTAGACAACTATTTGAATAGGCTTACACAGCTTATGTATTTCCCAACAAATATGACCTTATATCTTAATAATTAATAAAATTATAATTTATATAATTATACCAGTCTCCCAATGTGGCTGTGTCTACAAAAGCACATACTACGATAATGGAGATAAATTCTCTCCCAACGGAACGTGTCTGGAGCAATGCAGATGTATAAAAGGTGGCAAGGCAGGACAGAATAGCTCCTTGGAATTCTTACTTCTGAAGATTTTGGGGACAATAATACACTTATCTAAAACATATAATTATAATTTCATGCATGTATAAAACTACACTGGCCACGTGTTAAGCACTGTTGAAAACACTGGCCCATGGGGGAAACTAATAACCCTGGTATAAGAATTGCAGATGTTTTCTTGATTAAGAAGGTATCTATAAAGCATTATACATCAGATCTTCATTGGAGCTTATGAAAAATTATAATCAACACTACAATGCCTTATGACTGTCAATAGAAGATGCTTTAATGTTTTATTCTTAAACCGACAATTATAATGCATTATGGATCCTTTATAATGAATTATGAAGACATCTATAATGCATTATAGTTTCAAGTAAAGTGTTACCAAGACTTTAGTAATAATTAATAAGATTGAACAATGAGAAGGCATTTTAGAATGTTTCATCTTTTCTGCCAGATGCCGAATGCCCTGCCAACAGCCATTATGAGCTGTGTGCCACAGGCTGCCCAGCCACATGCTACACCATGTCCATACCCTTTGACTGCATCGCATTATGCAAAGAAGACTGCATCTGTAATGATGGTTTCATCCTCAGTGGTGATCATTGTGTACCAGTCTCCCAATGTGGCTGTGTCTACAAAAGCACATACTACAATATTGCCGATACCTTCTCTCCCAATGGAACGTGTCTGGAGCAGTGCACATGTATAAAAGAAGGCAAGGTAGGACAGAATGGCTCCTTGGAATTCTTACTTCTGAAGATTTTGGGGACAATAATACCAATATAAATGTTTTTTTTTTTTTAGATTGAATGCAAACCATTCTCCTGTGGCCAGAATGAAAAGTGTGAGTTGGTAAATGGCACTCATACATGCCAGCCTGCGGGTTCAGGTGTCTGCTCTGCCTCTGGAGACCCGCACTACAAGACCTTCGATGGACTCCCATATGACTTCCAGGGTACCTGCACCTATGTCTTAGCTAAGGGGTGTGACCTGGAAGGAACACATCTCATCCCTTTCTCCGTCATGGTGGAAAATGAAAAATGGTGGCCTGAGGTGGAAAACAAGAATGTTTCTGTCCCCAAACTGGTGGCTCTAGAGGTCTACAACTATACATTGATCTTGCAGAACAACATGCTAGGAGTTTTGGTTAGTGACCATTCAGTCTTTTAACTATTGTGTTATAAAGGTTTTATACAGGGATGTCACCAAAAAACATTTTTGCTGGGATCCATAATGCTTTATCTATCATAAGCTATGTAAGTATTTTAGATATCTTAGATGGACATGTATATCTGTTACTGTGTTGTTAAAGAAGAAATCTACTAGTAATTTGTCCTACCAGTCAGATAAGATAAAATGAATAAAATGCCAAGAGGATAATATTTTGTTTATAACTATAGCTATAAGAGAGTTTTTGTCGAAAATGAAAATAAAAAAAAAAACATTTCTGAGAATCACTTCAGCTGGATTGGTTACCTGAGCACAGTGACTGGGCAAAAATGGATAAAATTATTGTAGGTAGGATCAGGTCTAAAAAAGGATGTGCACAAAATAGTCATTGAGGCAGATGCTAAAGAGAAAACCCTCAAAACCTCTATAGTGTCACTATGGGCAAAAATAAAAATAATAAAATCAAATTCATGTTCAAAGTTTTTCAGATGTCAAGTAATGTCTTGTTCACTAGGGTGAATCAAAACACAGAAACACAACAATTTTCATTATTATTCCAGAAATTAGGCACAGATGAAAGAAATCACTTCATCTTCAGTCACAAGGTTCTCTGTTCCACATAAACAATGTTCTCTGCTCTCTGAACAGCTCTTCTAAGCTCCATAGGTAACTGAGGTTCACTGAACTTTTGTTTTTGTATTCTCCTTCAGGTAAATGGAGTTTTCAATTACCTCCCACTGAACTTGAGTAATGATGCAGTTGTAGCATATCTGGAGGGCTTCAACTATGTCTTGAAGACCAATTTTGGTCTGGTTGTCACATATGACCATGTGTATCATGTTAGCGTCATCGTGCCAGGTGACTACCATGGCAAGACTTGTGGCCTTTGTGGCAATTTCAATGGAAATAAGAATGACGACTTACACCTGCCCAACGGCACATTCACAAAAAACATCAACGACTTTGGTTTAGCATGGAAGGTGGCCATTCCTGATGTGGTGTGTGATGACGGATGCTCAGGCAATACCTGTCCAGACTGTGCCCCTGCACTGAAAACTATCTATGGTGCACCAGGATACTGTGGTATCCTTACAGCACCAGATGGGCCCTTTACTGCCTGCTACAGCAAGCTGGATCCCACACTTTACTTCAATGACTGTGTCTATGATATCTGTGCATCTTATGGAAACCGCGAAGTTCTCTGTGATACCATCGCTGCTTACGTGTACAACTGCCAGCTAGCAGGGGTTGAGATTAAGAACTGGAGGACACCTTACTTTTGTCGTAAGCATTATATAGCAGTGCTCTTTGCATCCATTGATAATCACTGAAACAGTAATTCATTAATGCCTTCATTGACAAAAGTTCAATAAACTATTAATTTTTTTATTTTATGCAAGTTTAATAAACAATCAAGTACTTGACTCAAAGACCTTTCCTCTGCTCTCTCTCAGCTGTGTCCTGCCCAGCAAACAGCCACTATGAGATCTGTGTGAGTTCCTGCTCCTTGGGCTGTCCAGGCCTCAATGGGATTGTAACATGTCCCAGCACGTGTACAGAGGGCTGCTCCTGTAACCCTGGCTTTCTCTTCAATGGACAGAATTGTGTTGCACCAGAAAAGTGCAGCTGCTACAATAATGGACACACATATAAGGTGGGCAATGGTGCTATATGTATATACAAATGTGATACCTTATACTTTTGGACTAATTTTATGTAATCTGTCTCTTTACAGCCAGGGGATGTTGTATACGTGGACGATTGCCAGGTGAAGTGTGTATGCAAAGCTTTGGAAGGTTTGGTTTGTGAACCATACTCCTGCCCGATTGATACCAAGTGTCTGGTCCAGAAAGGAGTCAAAGCATGTTACCACATAGGTAAGAGGAACCAAACCGTAAGCATGGTTTCCAAAATACTTTGGAAAAAGCCATTTGGTTACAAAACAATGTTTTTAACTTGACTAAGAAAATTAAAGTCATAATAAGTCATAACAATTAAAGTATTCAATACATAAGAACATAAATTAAAGAAAGCATTGAATCCTCAATCAGTACTGCCCCTTCCTCATGTTCCTTCACTGTAGATCATACCCATAAATCTCAATTTTATATTTTTTAGCAAATGAACCATATCATCTTTGTCAAATAATTAGAAATATAAAAAAGCATTTTATTTTTTGCATATTTTCTTCAAATAACAAATACAATAAAACTAATTTCACTAGTACAAAATTGAATATTTATAAGAAACTGAAATAAAGTGTTAAGAAAATATTAGTGCTGGGCAAGTTAACGCGTTATTATCGTGTTAACGCAGTACTTTATTAACGCCGACAATTATTTTATCGCGAATTAACGCAGTTTATTATATTAGTAGTAGTATTATTTTGAAAGTCTGTTGCTCGCTGGCTCTGAATCAGAGCATGTGAG